CCCCTGCCTTGGGGTCTGGCACTCAGGAAGGGTCTGGTGAGTGGTTGCTGACTGCAGGGCTTGACCACATTGAAATGCAGGACCCTGTCAGGTGACATTCTCTCTAGCACATCCGTTACTTAAGCACTTACGATGCCTATCTGGACTGGACTCTGCTGGCCATAAGCTGAGATAGACCAGCTCTGGTCTTGGCCTGGCCCTGCTCACAGGGTGGGGGTAGGCACCAACCCTGACGTTGTTCTGGATTGGGACTTGGGTTTGGGGGGCTCAACTGCTTTAGAATTCCTCCTGGAAGGCTGGTAGGCAGAGGGTTCCCCGTCTTGCCTTCCACACTCTTCTCCCAGCTGTGTCTGTGAGGCCCTGGAGGGTCCAGAGACCCGGCTGTGGGTTGGATGGACAGGTCGCCTCACAAGCCATCTCCTTCCTCTGGGCAGGCAAGAGACGCTACAACATTAAACTGTGGAAGACCTTCACCGACTGCTTCAACTGCCTGCCCATCGCTGCCATCGTGGATGAGAAGATCTTTTGCTGCCATGGAGGTGAGGGTGGCTCTGGGAAAAGCCCAGCTGCATCCCTGGGGGCCTTGGGACGAATGAAGCTGTTTGCTGGAGGACATGTTCCCAGTCGCCTGGAACAGCTCTCCCTGGGGTCTGGGCTTCGATGCCCCCCCCCCCCCCCAACTTCCCAGTGTTAGGCTGCACTCTCTCTGCTGTGTGGCCTCAGCATTGAGCATGGAACTTACAAGTCTCCTTTCTCTAGGGAGCTCTGCGCTCCTAGAGGGCAGGGACTTGAAGAGGCAGAAGGCGGTGAGTTCTGCCTGCCTGGGCTTCTAGGAGTCCAGGAGAGGGCCAGGTGGTAGTTGGGGAGGCAGAAGCTGAATGGTCAAGGCTTTCTGGAGGAGGGGGGGCCCTTGTTTTGAGGCTTGTTTGAGAAAGTGACCTGCTCCGTGTCCTCCAGGCCTGTCCCCGGACCTGCAGTCTATGGAGCAGATTCGGCGTATCATGCGGCCCACAGATGTGCCTGACCAGGGGCTGTTATGTGACCTGCTGTGGTCCGACCCTGACAAGGACGTGCAGGGCTGGGGCGAGAACGACCGTGGTGTCTCCTTTACCTTCGGGGCTGAGGTGGTGGCCAAGTTCCTGCACAAGCACGACTTGGACCTCATCTGCCGGGCACACCAGGTGGGCTGGCAGCTCTGGTCTGGGTAGGAGTGGGGCCGGGGCAGCCAGCGCCTGCTGAACTAACTGCCCCTGTCCTCATCCAGGTGGTAGAAGATGGCTACGAGTTCTTTGCCAAGCGGCAGCTGGTGACACTCTTCTCAGCTCCCAACTACTGTGGCGAGTTTGACAATGCAGGCGCCATGATGAGTGTGGACGAGACGCTCATGTGTTCCTTCCAGGTAAGGGTGGGAAAGGAAGGGGCTGGTGGCGCTATGGCTCAGCCCCGTGAACCTGACCAGTTCTGTCTCTTAGATCCTCAAGCCCGCCGACAAGAACAAGGGGAAATATGGGCAATTCAGTGGCCTGAACCCTGGCGGCCGGCCCATCACCCCACCCCGCAACTCCGCCAAAGCCAAGAAATAGCCTCCGCGTGCCCGCCGTCTGCCCCAGATGGTGGACTGTACAGCAGTCTCACAGCCGTGGGGGGTCACACTGGCCCCTACGCCCACCTGTCAAAGGAACACGGAGCCTTGGTGTATTTTTCTTTTTTTTTTAATGAATCAGTAGCAGCGTCCAGTCCCCCAGCGCTCACCCTGCCTGTGCCTTGGTGGCTACAAGCAGGATCCTGGGGCTGAGGCTGCAGCTCAGGGCAAAGCAGGGCCAGATTGTGGGTCTCCAGCCTTGCTTGGCCTCAGGGCTGGCAGCCGGATCCTGGGCAACCCTTCTGGTCTCTTGAATAAAGGTCAAAGCTGGATTCTCACCCTGGCCTCTCTCTCCCTTGTCCCAAACACTGGGTCTGGCATCCTTTTGCCCAGGGAGGGCAGGCTTGCCAGGCATAAGGTCTCAGCTAGGGCAACCTCAGCCACACGTTAAGGTCATAGGGGCTGTAGCAGTCCAAGCCAGGGAGTATCGAGAAAGCAAGAAAAACAGTCTGTCAGCCACAAGGGACCCCAGAGGTGTGCCCAGGATTTGAGGGTGAGATGGCATGATTGGCAGAGAAGGTGGATCAGAGGGACCAGCAGCCCAGCCCCACTATGATATTTTTTTTTTCCCTTGGGGAAGGTGGGTGTCCAGCCCTGGCTACACGGTTGGAATAGGAGGTGCAGGGCCTCCCATCAGGTGGACCTCCCCTCCGTGCCAAGCCTGGAAGTAGACATGATTGGTTGGTGTTGGGGGGAGATGACAGGACCCAGGCCAGTTACCAATAGCCAGGTGGGATCTGGGGACGCAGCAGTTCCAGCCAGTGCAGCTCCAACACAGCCCACCTGCTAAGGTGGAGACCCAGCCCTGCCCCTGGCTGGCGCCAGGAGAAATGGGAAGCTGTGGCTTCATCTAGTCCAGGGCCTTTGGACACAGACAGGTTCTCAGTTCAGCCTTCACCCTCACTGTCTTCAGCCAGCACAGGGCTGGGGCCCTGGGGGGAGTGCGCCGGGGCCAGGATGGAGCCAAAGAACAGCGAACGGAACTGGAAGAAGAGGAAGTGAGTTCTGGAGGCTGCTCCCTCCTAGCCTCCCGTTTCCTGCCTCCACCTTCAGCCCCTACCTTCTTGGGTGGAGGGGTCCCAGGCACTGTACTGGGCTCAGCTTCATCTTCTTCCTCTGAGTGGGGGCCAGAGTTACAGGGGGGCTGGAGGCCGAGTGAGAGGGAGATGGACGGGAGTGTCCGTGAGCCTTCACTGCCCACAGTGGTTTCCATGGCGATCATGTAAGAGTCAATGTCATCATTGGCAAAGTCATCCAGGTGGGGTGTGCTATAGGTAGAGATGGTGTCAGTGAGAAATGGGGAAAGAAGACGGGATACAGAGGCAGAGCCACCTTGGAAGACGGAGAGAGGGGACTGTGGGGGCCTTGTGACCATTGATGATCTCTTAGTTTTATTTTTTATTACTTCCTATTTGGTTGGAGGAAAGAGGATACAGGGGGGTTAAGTGGTGGCTTCCTGGAGGGGGTGGGCCTGGAATCCTTTGATCAGAGTTCAGGTGAGGGGCCTGAGGGAGGCATCCCTGGGGCCAATTTAGCTCAGCTGGGGGAGGGGAGCAGCAAGTCCTGTGAGCTAGGCCACCTGGGGCCCAAGCCCCCGCCTTCCCAAGGGACAGGAGCTGGCGAGCACTGGGGCCCAGGGGCCTGCTGGGCGGGGGGCCAGGCCAAACTTCCTCTGCTTAAACTACACTGGGCCCATCCTCCCCAACCCACCTGCCCTTCCAGCCACCTGCCTCCAGCAACCCCCTTTCCCTCCTTGGCCTGGGAGAAGGCTCAGAGGGGAGGCCTCAGCCAGAGAAGGAAACTAGCCCAACCTTGGGGACACTTCCGGGGGTGGGAGGGATCTCTGAGCACAGCTGACCAGGAAGGCTGAGCCTGTGGGGCTAGAAGCTGTGAGCACTGTTGGGGCTGGGGCCTTACTGGAAGTGTGTGTGGGGAAGAGGGGAGAGGTCCAGAAGCTGGAAGCAGCAGGCTCAGGCCAGATGCACAGAGGTGAGGAGGAAAGGAGCGGGCTGGTGGGAACCTCACCTGTGAGCCTGGACCTGAGGTGCTTGCTGGCAGAGCTCCGGGGAATGCAGGTCCTGGGAGTTCGGGGACGGCTCTGAGAGCGTGGCCAGGACAAAGTGGCCGTCCAGCAGAGTGTCCCTGATGGTGAAGATGGCTGGCCTGGGCGGGTGATGGGTCTCAGACAAGGTCAGGGCCTTTCGGCTCCTGGCATCCTAGAGCTGCCCCCTACCCCCACCCGCACCCCCATCCTGAGGCTGGGAATTACCTGCCCGGAGCATCAAAGTGAACACTAAGAGACAAGTTTGCTGACTCTGCGAAGCTCAGGAGCCCCTAGATGGGGAGAGGCAGAGCAGTGATGCCCAGGGCAAGGCAAGGGAGCACAGGGTAGTGAGGGCATGGGGAGAACCTCACCCGAAATTCTTTAAGGCAGAAAGTGATGGCCACCCCTTCTTGGGCCTGCAGTTGCTGGAAATCTTCCGCCCCAATGCTCATCTCAGTCACCATGGCTTTGACAGTGTTGTCTGTGAGGGCAGGAACAGGAGGGGCCTGGGCCCATGGGTCTCACCCCCTCCCACCACAGCCCTGCTCCCAGTCCCAGCCCATGTCCAGCACCCTCACCTGCCTCTTCCTCCTGGTAACTGCGCAGGATGACCCTGCGGCCACGGCCAATGCCCAGAGTCACTTCGGCCAGTGCAAGGGGGAAGGGCAGGATAGCCTCCCCCAGAACCCTGTGAGGAAGGCACAGCATTATACCCAAGGCTCAACCTCGCCCAGTGGCTTTGCTCAGAGGACCTGAGGCAGGGCAGTGACACGTGCACCAGCATTGAAGGGGAACTGCCACGGGCCAGGCCTGCATGCCCCAGGAAGGAGGTCAGGGTGAGCAACACATGGTCCCTGCCCCATCAAAAGCTTCCAG